GATCAGGAAAAGATGTCTTCATTTCCTGCTTGGCCCTCTAACACCCTCTATGTGTGAAGATTAACATCATGCCCAACTGGCAAAGGAGAAATGCTTACAGGGTCCAGCTCCAGCATCACAATTAGGGCAAAGGGGTGGGTGTGGAGCTCAAAATAAAGAAACTGTTAACTGGCATACCCCTTTTCTCTGAAAAAAGAATTGAAGAGGACTCCTAAGGTGAGAAGATTAGTTATAAAATCATATTTACAGAGGAAAGACAAACTGATTTGTCAAGGAGGAAGAAAATGTATGGATATGAAGTAGAACTATTTACAGCAGAACTTTCTCATATAGTTCCCATCAAAAGACACTAATGGAAGTGTAGGTATGGGAGGTATAGGAGGTTTGAGTCTGAGTCTCAAAGATGTGTCAATGCCAAAACAAGGCAAAGGCAAGATAAATAAGATGAAGGTGAGAGAGGTGGAAGATTGGCTCATGGGAGCATACTCGATCCACTGCTGAGATTAGTGTTCAGTCTAGTAAGGTCTGAATTGACCCCAAGTTGTAAAAAGAGACTGTAATGCTATTATTAGGATGCTTACAATCAGATTTCTGTCACAAGTACTTAAGTTGTAGATTTTGGGGGGCTGGAGATGAAGAAAAGGAGGGTGAGAGAAAGAATGGCTTTCAAAGGCAAATAAAGCAAGCTTTCAAAGTCTTTGCAGATATACAAAACTTTGCAATCAACATATTATTACTAGAAATAATTCACTGAAGCAAGATTCGGATACAGAAGTTCATTCATCAGTCTGTAAAGGACCAAATCACTCCCCTTCTTGAAATCTACACTTTGAAAAAAAATTTAATTCAGTATAGTCCATAGGTTAAAAATGTTTTAAATCAAAATTTATATCCAAGGAAAAAAGTGCTTTGTTTACCCAGAAATCTGTAATTTGTAAAGTCACACCTAATCCCTATGCTCTGACACACCCAAATACCTTTTATTAATTACTTGGTTTTCCTCAGTAAGAATTAACATGCTTCTCTCTGTTAGAAAAGTTTGAGAAAGGGAAATTGAATTGCTCTATGTTATAGTTGTGTTTTGTTTTGCTTCGTTATTTGAGACAGGGTCTCCCTCTTTTGTCCAGGCTGAAGTGCCATGGCGGGATCATGGCTCACTGTAACCTCGACCTCTCGGGGCTCAAGAGATCCTTCCACTTCAGCCTCTTGAATAATGGGGACTGCAGGTGTGTGCTATGACACTTGGCTAATTTTTGTATTTTTTGTAGAGACGGGGTTTTGCCGTGTCGCCCAGGCTGGTCTTGAACTCCCGGGCTCAAGTAATCTGCCTGCCTTGACCTCCCAAAGTGCTGAGATTACAGGCATGAGTCACTGAGCCCAACCCACTGATATATATATATATATATATGTATGTGTATATATATAAATTTGAGGGTGCCCAGATTCACATTGTTTCTGGGGTCATCTGTGAGGGTGTTTCCAGAAGAGATTAACATTTGAATTGGACCCAATAAAGTAGATTGCTATTCTCAGTGCAGTTGGGCATCACCCAATCTGTTGAAGGCTTGAATAGAACAAAATAGAGGAAGGATGGATTTACCTCCCTTTTCCCCTGCCTCGCTGCTTGAGTTGGACATCTCCTCTCATCTTCTCTTGCCCTCAAACTGGATTTACATGATCAGTTCCTCTGGTTCTCAGGCCTTTGAACTCAGACTGAATTACACTTTCCTGAGTTTCTAGCTTGCAGATGGCAGATTGTGGAACTTCTCAGCCGTCATGATCTTGTGAGCCAATTCCTTACAATACATACATACATACATACACATACATATACAAATAAATCATTTGTCTTGTGTCTCTCAAGAACCCTGACTAATAGGGTACTGAATCTTTTCAATCTTATCTCCTATGACTTTAATTCATGTACCTCATGCTACACGCAAATTGAGCTGCTTGTTATTTTTAAACATGTCATTGAATTAGGAATTATTTCAGACATTCAGAAATGTGCTTCCATGTGTTCATTCAGCATTTATTGTTATTTAAAATATTTATTTGTTTATTTATATATTTATTTATTTATAGATTTAAGGGGTACAAGTACAGATTTGCTACACTGATAGATTGCGTAGTGGTGAAATCTGGGTTCTTAGTGTAACCATCACCCGAGTAGTGTTTACTGTACCTGTTAGGTAATTTCTCAACCCTCCACCCCTTTCCACCCTCCATCTTTCTGAGTCTCTAGTGTCTATTATTCCACTCTCTATGTCCATATATACACATTATTTAGCTCCCATTTATAAGTGAGAAAATGTGATATTTGACTTTCTGGGTTATTTCACTTAAGATAATGGCCCCTAGTTCTATCTATGTTGCAGCAAAAGGCATGATTTCATTCTTTTTAATGGCTGAATAGTATTCTATGGTGTATATATGTGTATACACACATACACACCCCCCCATCATCCGTTGATAGACACTTACATTAATTCCATATATTTGCTACTGTGAATAATAGTATTGTGATAAATACATGCATTCAGGTGTATTTTTTATACCTTTGGGTAGGTACTCAGTAATGGGATTGCTGGGTCAAGTGGTAGCTCTGTTTTTAGTTCTCTGGGAAATCTCCATACTGCTTTCCACAGAGGCTATACTAACTGACATTCCCAGGAACAGTGTATAAACATATGCTGGAAGAGGCTATTCTCTTATCTGCCTTATGGCTGCATCCCATCAAAGAGAAAACAACTGCCTTCCACCTGCTCCACGAAATCTCATTATATCAGAGAAGATGACTGAGGAATTCAACCACGACTGGATGGACTTTTTCAAAAGATGACACCTGCTTCTTGGGCTCATTCAAATTTCAAGAGAACCATTTACAAGTTAATTTCTATCCCTCAGGTCCACTCATTCTTCCTAACAACCATTCATGACTCCAAAAAAATTCCCCATCTTCTACATTCCCCATCTTCTCTTCCCCTATGAAGAATGGTATATAATCACCTGTACCCCATTGGTATTTGGGAAATCACTCTCCTGTGATTTTTCCCCATGCATGTTAAAATAAATGTATATGACTTTTTCTCTTATTAATCTTCCTTTGTCAGTTTATTTTCAGCTGAACTCCAGAGAGTGAAGGAAGAAGCTTTTTTTCTTCATTCCTACATAACCCAGGCATTGATCCAGGCAATGAAGATTCAGTGTAAACAACCACCACTAACAAGACCATGGCCTTTGGAACCTGTGCTAAGAGGCATGGATGAGCTCCCTCAGCATGTGGATGGAGACTGAAGACAGGTCTGAAGGTTCAGTGTAGGTGTCTCCATTCTCTAAGAAGTTTGGAGGAGAAGCTGGATACAGCAAAACAGATTGAGAAGGAGCAGCTGTTGGGAAAGGAGGAAAACTAGGAAAGCATGGTGTTCCAGAGTCCCTGATGGAGCTATTGATTAGTAGTATCAGATTCTGCTCAGCAGTTGAGGAGTTCACCTTTGGCTTAAGCAACATGGAGTCACTGACTATCTCGTGAAGGTGGTTGCAGGGGAAGGTCTGGAGAACTAAATGGAGCAGTGATACGAGAGAATGGGAAGTGGTATGATAGGACTCCTGGACACCCCAGACATCAATCAAAACACCACAGACAAGAAGGTGTGGATACAAAAACTAGCAGTTAGAAGAAATAATAGAAAATGAACTCCAACTACTTCTGAAAAAAAAGTAATGAGGGCAATTAATACACTGAATAAAGCCTCAATAAGTACAACAGTGTAGTACTGACTTATATATAGAAAAAACGTGATCAGTGGATCCAAATTCTCAGAATTAGATATAAGTGCGTATGAGAATTTTGTATATGATAAAGGTTGTATGTTAACGTAGTAAGTAAAAGATGGACTATTCAACAAATGGGATTGGTACAACTGGGTGACCATCTAAAACAACATAATGTTGAAAACATACTGTATATACTATGGTAGGACAAATTCCAAATATGCTAAATATTTATCAATAAATAAGGAAAATAATAATAATAATAATATTAACATTATCTGGTGAATCTTTTATAACTCAGGGTAAGCTGCAACAATATGGATGGAACTGGAGGTCATTATGCTAAGTGAAATCATTCAGAAACAGAAAGACAAACATCACATGTTCTCATTTATTTGTGGGATCTAAAAATCAAAACAATTGAATTCATGGAGATGGAGAATAGAAGGATGGTTACCAGAGGCTGGGAAGGGTAGTGGGGAAGGGGAAGTGAGGGGAGGTGAGGATGGTTAATGGGTACAAAAAAATACTTAGTATGAATAAGACCTAGTATTTGATAGCACAACAGGGGGACTATAGTCAGTAATTTAGTTGTCCATTGTAAAATAACCAAAGGAGTATAATTGGATTGTTTGTAACATAAAGGATAAATGCTTGAGGGGATGGATACCCAATTTTCCATGATGTGTAATCCCAGCACTTTGGGAGGCTGAGGTGGGCAGATCACTTGAGGTAAGTGGGTTGAGACTAGCCTGGCCAACATGGCGAAACCCCGTCTCTTTTAAAAATAGAAAAGTTAGGTGGGTGTGGTGGCGTGTGCCTATAATCTTAGCTACTCAGGAGGCTGAGGCAGGGGAAATCGCTTGAACCCCGGAGGTGGAGGTTGCAGTGAGCTGAGACCACACCACTGCACTCCAGCCTGGGAGACAGAGTGAGACTCTGTCTCAAACAAACAAACAAATAATTTATAAAATCTGATACTTTTTCACCATGGAGTTTCTTATGTAGGAATTTATCTTAGAGATATATTTGTACATGTGCAAGAGACATATGTCCAAGGTTAATAAATTCATCATTATTTGCAATATCAAAAGGTTAATAGCTGTCAAACAGCCATTTATATTGTATAAATTATGGTCCATCCATACAATGAAATACTGTGTAGCTGTAAAAAAAAAAAAAAAAAGCAAGCCTGATATGGAAAGACTTCCAATAAATAGTAAGCTTAAACGAAAGTACAGAATAATACATATTTGTATGAAAAAAGAGATTTTATGCCTCGAAGACCTTCACCCTTGATCTTCTGGTGTTATTCATGTCCTTGTATTCTCCCAGAATCATTACCTCCTCCCACTGGTACAGTCAAGTCTTGCTTGTTCTGTCCTTACATTCTTTAGAGAGAAGTCACAAGAGACAAGCAAACATCTCCTTTGCTAATAATGCTGATCACTTCCTACAATGTAATATCTATGTGCAATTTTTTGGGAAGACCTCCTACCAAACAGGTAAGAATGGAAAGACACAAAGAGAAGAAAGTGGAGAAAGACCTCTGTCTTCCCACACTGGATTTTGCAAATACAAGTCTTCTGTGATACAGGAAACTAAAAAGAGGGAAAAGTGGCAATTAAGAAAAACTGCCAGAAAATAAATACCTTGATGACCCAATTTGGAAAACTGCTTCTGGATAAGGAAACACTATTACCCAATATGCTAATTTTTAAAATACCCAAAGAATTGAGCAAAAAGGACTTTGGCAAGGTGGGTTGTTGGATTTAAAACCGTTCTCCCATTAATGCCAAAGCCAGCAGAGATACCAACTATAGCTCCATGGCCAGAAGGTACCAGCAGCTTTGCTTTTACTGAAATTTCAACTGGAGAAAGGTCCACAGGTGAGGTTTCTTCCAAGGAGTAATTTCTCTTATTTGACTCTTTTGAGATCCTTTTCTCATATAATTGGCAAATTTCAATTGGAGAGAAACTGTATTTTCTACCTCATTATAAGGTCAGTGCTGAGGAGAGTAGGAACTCAGGAAATGCTTCTTGATTGACTTTAGTCTGCTTTATCGGGTGACAAATTGACCACAGACCAAATAACACGTTGGAATTCTCTTATTCTTTCTAGGGATCTGGGCTGAGAATTAAGGGTTTATACTTCTTCTTAAAACCCATTTCAATCTTTCATGCAGTTGTGATTCTAATACAAACAAATGGAAACAGGGAATTAGTCTTTCAAATTCAGTCCTTTGGCTGACGCAGTGGCTCATGCCTGTAATCCTTTGGGAGGCTGAGGTGGGAAGATTGTTTGAGGCCAGGAGTTCGAGACTAGCCTGGGCCAAACATAGTGAGACCTTGTCTCTACCAAAAAAAAAAAAAAAAAAAATTAGCTGAGTGTGATGGTGCACGTTTGTAGTCCTTGCTACTCAGGAGGCTGAGGTGGGAGGATCACTTGAGCCCAGAAGGTCGGGGCTGCAGTGAGCCTTAATCGTATCAGTGCACTTTAGCCTGGGCAACAGAAAAAAAAGAAAGAAAGAAAGAAAGGGAAGAAAGAAAGAAAGAAAGAAAGAAAGGAAGGAAGGAGAAAGAAAGAGAAAGAAAGAAAAAGTAAGAAAGAAAGAAAAAAAGGAAAGAAAGAAGTTCAGTCCTCAAAACATAGATCTGTGTTTTATTTACGATTCTCTGCCCCTCTCTTTCTTCCTCTTCAGCACAATGAGGCTTTTCACAGGCATTGTTTTCTGCTCCTTGGTCATGGGAGTCACCAGTGAAAACTGGTTTTCGTTTTTCAAGGAGGCTCTCCAAGGTAAGAACTCTGGAGGACGGAGGGCACATACCCAGCATTCATTCTGAGCAGGGGCCACATACTCACTGGATATGAGTGCTCCTTAGAGAAGCCACACAGAGGTCAGAGCAGGAGTGTGGGTTTCTGTATCTGTTTCTTCTTCTAGGCTGGTCTGATTTATCACCCTCCCTTGGGGTTTCCAGACGAGCGGTTAAAGGTGCTTTGGGCCTAGCCTGTACTGTTGGTGTAGAGTGCAGAAGGATAAAGACTTCCAGGGGGTGATCTCCCACTGTGGAAATTTACAGATGGCAGATTTCTCAGGGCATGATGTTTATTTAGCTCATCCACCTCTGGGAACATACTGAGTTCACAATTATACTCCAGGATTGAGACATGCCTAGGAGAGAGTGGAATAATAGTGCTTGCACAGAGAAATCCTATCCTGTTCCCAAGCAAATAGCCAATGCTTGGGATGCAGAGCTTATGAAAATTAAGCCCTAACTTATAAATAAATAAAAAGAGCAAATTTCTACTGATTAGCCACAGGAGGGCTGAGATACGGCTGGGAAACTGACTTCTGCCATTCTGGAGGGGAAATGAATCTTACTGACAACTCCAGCCTGGGCAACAGAGAAAGACTCCATCTCAAAAATAAAATAAAATAAAATAAAATAAAAAATAAAATAAAAATAAAAAAAATAAAATGGGAAAACTTTGTTGTCAGGTTTTGCAACACTTTGAACTTCATGTGTTGTTATTAATTTTGTAGTTGAATTTTTTGTAATTTTTCAATTGAAATTTTACAAATTTTCATTTTTTCTGCATTTTGTGCTTTTAAAAATGATATTCTCTAAATAGTTTTTAAAAAGTTTTAGTAGCATGTGCTAAGTTTTTCTGCACATAGTATAAAGTATCTTTTTCCTTAAGTCATTGTGTTTCAGAATTTGTTGTATGGTTCACCAGCATTTAAATCGGCTGGGTGTGTTTGTTTAAAAAGTGCATTCCTGAGCCTCTTCTCATAGTTACTGAGTCAGAATCTTAGAATTGAATTGGGACTAGGAATAGCATTTGAAAAACTCCCCAGGTTACTTTCAGCACAATACCAATGAGAACAACTGTCTTGGGTTTTTCTGCCACCCAGTGACAGAATCTGTCAGGTGCTTGGAGAAAACTCTTGCTAGTCAATCTGGAAAACATAGAATGAACATAAAGCATGCATCAGAGAAAGGACAGTCATTATGCCATGCCAGAGATAAACTATTTGACAAAATTGCAGACACAAAATAATACATGAAGTTAGTGAGAAATATCCCTTAGAACACAGTACGTGGCTGGGCGCGGTGGCTCAAGCCTGTAATCCCAGCACTTTGGGAGGCCGAGACGGGCGGATCACGAGGTCAGGAGATCGAGACCATCCTGTGAACTCTACCCCCTGATGATCTACCACTTCCATTCCTAAGTGTATACTACAACACGAAATGAGGGCTTATGTAAACCCAAAGTACACGTACACCCAATGTTTATTGCAAGGTTTATCCATAATAGCCCAAAACTTAAAAACCTAAATTATCCAATAATCATAGGATAGAATAAATAGAATTGTGATACAGTAAATACAATGGAATGACCTGATGCAGCAATGAAAAAAGAAACAAAACATTAATACACATGACAAATGTTGCCATGTAATATTAATATGTGCATAATGTTTGAGTTAAACAAAGCCAGGATACAAAAGGACATATTCTGTACAATTTCTTTTATTCAAAAGATCAAAGACAAGGGACACTAATCAATAAATGAATAAGAGGTAAGAATAGGAAGTTACCTTTTGTGAGGGTTGTTAACACTGGAATAAGGGCATGAAGAGACCCTTCCAAGGGTGCTGTGAAAATGTTTTGACATCTTGATCTGATGGGTGGTAATACGGAACTGTTTGTATGTGTTAAAAAGGCTCATCAAGCTATACCAGTGTCTAATATGTAAGGTTTAAATCATTTTAAAAGTTTTTTTAAAAAGATTAGTGGAAAAATAGATGTTTGAAACAGGTCTCAAGCCAGGAAGAGGCTATAGAAAGTGTCTATCAGTGCCTGTGTTGTTCAATCAATAAATACTTTTTGAGTTCTGCCTGTGGTTTACGTGTTACTCGAGTTCTTTAAACCAACTCACTTGGAAAAAGAAAGCTCGTGAATAAATAGTTTTTTAATTGTTACTTAACGTACTGTGTTCTTTTTTTTTTTTTTTTTGTTTGAGACGGAGTCTCGCTCTGTCGCCCAGGCTGGAGTACAGTGGCCGATCTCTCAGCTCACTGCAAGCTCCGCCTCCCGGGTTTATGCCATTCTCCTGCCTCAGCCTCCCCGAGTAGCTGGGACTACAGGCCGCCGCCCACCCTCCGCCGGCTAGTTTTTTTGTATTTTTTAGTAAGAGACGGGGTTTCACCGTGTTAGC